GATTCGGTAAAGAGGAGGTTGAGGGGAAGCAGGGGTGTATTTTGGCGTTATTGGGGCAACGCCGCCGGCGGAGGCGATTTCCGGCCGGCGGCGGACGGTGGCAAGGGGGGTGGAGGATACGGCGGGGGCTGCGGTGTGATGATTTCCGGTGAGATATGAGGGTGGGGGTGCGAGAGAGATGGAATGAAGGGGTACGGGGGGGTGTGTTTTGGACATATATATATTAATTAAACCCAGCTTCGGAACCGTTCGATCAAGGAACCTCGACGGTCCTGATTGAACGAGTCCAAACGACGTCGTTTCAAGTGGACTGGAGAATTGGACCGGGTGAGGTTGGACGGGTCTGGGACGGGTCAGTGCCTATTTTGTTTGGGCTCAGCCATTTGGGCCCAATTTTGGCACAGACCCCCCCCCCCCCCTTTTTTTTGCCTTTCTTTTGTATTTCATTTTTTGTATATATTTTTTTTTTGTACTTTGTATTTATTCATTTTTCTTAATTTTATAAAAATGCTAAAACAAAACAAAGACTCAATTAAACTATTTAAACTTCCTAAAATTACTTAAAAACTCTATTTAGAAATAAAACGCAACAATTAACAATTAAGAATGCAACAAGACTATTTTTTTTTGCAATTTTTCTTTAAACTTTATTCTAAATCTAATTAATACCTAATTAATACTAAAAATTGTGGAATTAAAATCCCTAAATGCATGTGCATATTTTTCTGTATTTTCATATGAAAAATGCAACCAATTAACACAAAAATTCAAACAAAAATTCACAAAAATTGTAAAGAAATCAATTATTTGAAACTTTTGGAATTAATTTGCTTAGGACAAAAATCACGTGCTCACAACAGAGTCACTGGGTTGCATGAGCTAGAGGATTTCAGGTTCCAGGCTTTCGAGAGTGCTAGATTGAACAAAGAACGGATGAAACTGATGCATGACAAGCACATCATGGATCGAAACATCAAATCCGGAGAGCTAGTGTTGTCATACAACTCCAGATTAAGATTGATTCCGGGTAAGTTGAAGTCCCGATGGTCAGGACCCTTCAGAGTAGTGCAAATGTTCCCAAGTGGAGACGTTGAGATTGATTCAGAGGATGGGATGAATAAGTTCACAGTGAATGGTCAGAGGTTGAAACATTACCTTGGAATGGCAAACGGGAAAGGGGACAAAGAGATAATAATGTTGGAAGAGCCCCAGTACATGAATGAGGAGTGATGCTCTGAGCCTGCGTCGTGCCGCGACGTTAAATCAGGCGATGCGTGGGAGGCAACCCACGATTGTTGTGTTTCATTCGTGTATGTAACCATGATTATAAAAAAATGGGCATTGCCCGCGACCGCGGTGGAACCGCCGTGAGAGGCGAGTACACTGCCTCAATTTTGCCAGACCCACCGCGGTGAGAGGCGACTATTCTGCCTCACCTTATTTAACCTAACCTTATTTAACCCACCGCGGCCGCGGTGGGTACCGGGTAAGTATTTTTTTTATATTTTGTTTCTTTTTTTTCTTTCTTTATTCTTCTTTTAATTTATAATCCTAACTCCTAATTAAAACAACCCACCCGCCCAACCTCTTCATTGCCTCATCTTCTCTCTCTCTATCTACAACCCTAATCTCCCAAATCCCTCCTCTCTTCTTCTTCTTCTTCACTTTTCTCACATCCTTCATCTCCATTCCCCTCACTCTCTCCCTCATCAAGGTACGTTGCTCCCCCCCCCCCCCC